TCCAGTTCGTTTGCCGCCGTATCTGGGTCGTGCGGTGGTCGTGCCACTGGTCAAATTCACGACGAGAATGCGACGAGAAAACGGTGACCCATGCAGCGCCGGCGCGGCCGGGCGCCGCCGTATACTCGTCGTTTAATCGTCGTATTCTGGTAGCGGAAGGGGTCAAAAAGAAAACGGTCGGCCGCCGGGAGGCGGGCTCGAACCGGCGATTAGTCAGTCGCCACGCCGAGACGGTATCCACCTGGCCAGGGAGGACGCCTGAGGGCATTGCTGCCGGAACCGCATCCCATGCTGACCTGTGCTCTCTCGACACAAATCGACTGTTGTGTCGAGATGTTGCACTCTCAGCGTTGTAGATTTAGACTGCGGGCCACTGAGCTTTATATGAGCCGCCATCTCGACGCAACAGTCGATTTGTGCTCGCAAGTTCAAAAATTGTGCTCAGTATCCCACAGCGTAAATCTACAACGCTGAGAGTGGGCTTTGTGTCGAGAGAGCACAGGTCAGCATGGGATGCGGTTCCGGCAGCGCTCCCCTCAGGCGTCCTCCCTGGCCAGATGGATACTGTCTCGGCGTGGCGACTTACTAATCGCCGGTTCGAGCCCGCCTCCCGGCGGCCGACCGTTTTCTTTCTTTCCCCTTCCACTACCAGAATACGACGATTAAACGACGAGTATACGGCATCGCCCGGCCGCGCCGGCGCTGCATGGGTCGCCGTTTTCTCGTCGCATTCTCGTCGTGAATTTGACCAGTGGCACGACCACCGCACGACCCAGATACGGCGGCAAACGAACTGGAATACGACGGAATACCTCGATACTTCGTCGTATATTCGTAGTATGCTGGTCGTTATCAGACTGGTGGAAAATGACGAAAATGCGTCCAAAACACGGATAAGTTTTTTACGCGGGCTCTTCAAAGTTAAGTTCATTTCATTCGAATATTGTTAATGTGTTAAACCATCCCTTGTGATGAGAACTATACCCTCAGGTTCCCCTGCACCTACAGTGGCGCAGAAACTATTTTATTGACAAATGTACCAAAAATACTTTTTGGGAGATGAAAGCCCCCTTTAAAGGTAATGTAAACGGAAAAGGTGTAAAAGTGTGTTTTTATTGTTGTCCACGACGTCTCAGAGTCATTGTGTACCTCCGATTTTGGGGATACTTCGTGTTTACTAGAAGTCGCTCGGATAGACGGATGGGAGATGGGGTAAGCGGGAAGTACGACGCACCAGCCGGTGGACGTCATTATTGGCAGTCTTTGGGGCTGAAGTTGGTCCTACGAAAATCTAGAGCAAAAATCCGACGGTGAAGGCAATGTATTGCTCATGTAATAGTCGTGTAATAGACGCGTAATGGTTACGTAATAGAAGTAATAGAGAGGTAATAGAGGTAATAGGGAGTAGTCGGGCCACGATTTTGGAGAGTGGAAACCCCCTCGTTCATTATGTTTGTATAGTTTTGTTCTAAATTTGTTACGTCTTCTGTTATTCTAATGCACTTCGCTCAGCTACCCCGTGCACAATGTTAACGCACGGGGCCCTACGTCATAGGATATCTTCTTTTAAAGTTAACGCGAAGGATTTCACCGGAGAAAGTGGTGACAATAAACTGGTCAATAGCTTGTTTGTTTCAGTTCATCAAGGACTAAGGGGAAGTGGGGTATGATGTATCACTTTTTTTGTTTTCCTCTCTGGGGAGCGGGATTTTGCATGTATTTCGATCGTTTTACGTCCATTCAGTACGTTGTAGTTTCCCCTAACATATCCTATCATTGGAGACGAGGTGTGGGGGCTATTTAGTGAGTTTCTAATTTTTTAGTGAACCTCTGCCCCTGATACATGATACCCTACCCGTGGGGTACCATGTATCAGGCCTGGGGAACCATGTATCACAATGTGTTTTCTTCTAAAATTGTGATTTTAAGACTACAAAAACATTTTTTTTGGAGGCAATTGTCCCTTTATTGCTAGTTCTTGGTTTTATACGAGGCATTCTGTCCAGGATAAAAAAAATAGTAATTAGAAAGAGCACTGCAAGTAAACAACTCATAATCGTCTACTACTGTGAATCAAAACAATCCTTATTTTGTGGTTGATGATTTCATTCTCCCCTAGACGTTGGCACTCTATTGTCTGACCGATAATTACAGTGCAAGTATGGAAATTTATACAAAAGCATTGATTAGCTGCTCTTACGCATAAAATACGCTGATACATGGTACCCCACCAAACTATGATACATGGTTCCCCAAGGAGCATTGGTCAGGCAACACGGCTGCTGTGCCCTAACCTCAACTCAGACTAAACCGTTCTGGACGTTGAAACCCTCTTATAGCCCTTACTTCATATTAGTGGAAATGTTAATCGAAGAACGTGAAAATAGTGCCGTAGGAAAAAAAAAACGACGAAAAAACAATTTTACTTTATCTTGATTTTGAGTCTCCAAAACTTCATGTTGATGTGCCCCCGAAACAATTGACGAACGAAACTCACCGCCTTCGTAAAAATGGAGTATCGGAGGGGGTCTTTCGATTCCCCCCCACGTGACCAACCTCTCGCGCGAAGTTTGAGAGTAAAGGTTTGTGATACATCGTATCGTTCCCCGTGATACGTCATACCCCACTTCCCCTTACAGAATGGCACTGGGGTTTAACTGAATTTTGAAAAATAAAAATTATTCATAATAAGTGGCTTTTGCAAAATATATTTTTTAATCAAAATGGAGATTAATTTTTATTTTTCGAAATTCAGTGAAACCTTTATGTCAATCTGTAGTCCTTGATGAACTGAAACCAACAAGCTAATTGTTTTTTATCACCACTTTCTCCGGAGAAATCCTGCGTGTTAACTTTAAAAGAAGACATTCCTATAAAAATAAAAGTACACACTTGGGACCTCTTCAAAGATAAGTTCATTTCAATCTGACATTGTTAATGTGTTAAGCCATCAATGGCTCAGAAACTAATTTTATTGACAAATGTCAAAAAATGCTTTTTGGGAGGTAAAAGCCCCCTTCATAGGCAACTATTACCAACTATTACGTCTCTATTACCTCTACTACCAGTCTATTACCTCTATTACCTTTCTATTACCTCTATGACCAGTCTATTACCTCTATTACCTTTCTATTACCTGGCTATTACCTCTATTACCTAACTATTACCGGACGGGCGACCCGACTATTACCTGAGTGGAAACCCCCTCGAAAACAACGAAAGTCCATGTGTGAGCTAACATAAGAGCGAAAGTCCAAGTATTTTGTGGACTTTCGCTGTTATGTCAGCCCTGGGTTGGACTTTCGCTGTTTGATCTGAAAATGTATGGACTTTTGTTGTTTACGTCAGATCACATGAGGACATTCGTTTCTTTGTTGGCTCAAGGGTGGACTTTCACTGTTTGGTACTGCTTTGTATCTCTGCCGTTTATTAAGATATTTTAAATCCATTTACACAGAAAAATTCGCCTTGAAATATTGATTTAACTTCCTAAAAAAGCTGAAATGAGTAAAGGCGCGGTGGACTTTAAAAAGCTCATGAATTGTTTTTTAGGAAATTTGAGGTAAAATGGCTATCAAAAATCTTTGTTTTACATCGAGGGGGAAATCACTAGGGTTCGTAGCGTACGGACTATTTCGTGGTATTTCTCCTACTATTTCGGTTATTTCTCCTGCCATTTCGGCTATTTCCCGCCTATTTCGGATTATTTCGGTCTTTTTCGCGCTATTTCGGAGTATGTCAGGGGTATTTCGCGACTATTTCACCGACTATTTCGCGTCTATTTCGTCTTTATTTCGTTCTATTTCGCCTTTATTTCGGACTATTTCGGGGAAAGGTGTACGAACTATTTCGCAAGTGATTTCCCCCTCGTTTTACATAGTATATCAAAACCCCTGTGTTAATTTATAGTCCTTTTGATTCTGATTCAAGAAAACTTTGGGGATAATTTTAAACTCAAAATTGCTGGAGAAATCATGCGCGCAAACTTTTAATTAAACAGTCAACTTTTCTCTGCGCTTCAGTGTTTGGGACCAAAGAGATAGGCTCCATACGTACAATCTATTGTTTCTTAGTTCAGTGTCTAATAGGAAATGAAAGTTCCACTCACTTTGACCAGGGTCATATATAGGAGGCCAAAAACTACATTTATCCATTTATATGCAAAAAATCAATTTGAAAACTTGAAACCCCCCTTAATGTTATAGGCGATAACCGACAACGCCTTGCATGGAACTTTACAGATAAAAAAAATAACATATGACTAACAAAATAACCGCTATGGATTTAACAAGTATTAGTTTGATAGGTGTTAAAAATGTCATGAATTTTTAGTGCGTGTACGATATCAGTCACTAAATAAGCAATAATAAAATAATAAAATAAAAGTTAAAGGAAGTAGTGACATCTATAACGTTAAGGGAATAACAAATTTCTTATCGGTTACGTTACGCTCTGAAATTAACTTTAAGTTCTATTTGCGATGTTGTTAGAACATACCAAACCAATCGTATATTCCTTTTGTTCAGTTACGGACCCCTGATTATCGGTCAGGTAAAACCGAATTTCAAAATGTGAATATAAATTTGGAACTTTTGCTGTTTTAAACATCTCGCCAACCTCCAAAGAATTGCGATATGCGACGGAATTATAATATCAAAATCTGATCCGATATAGGTAGTGGAACAGACAGACAGACAGACACGATGTTAGCACAAGGCCGCTGCTGGATAGCTTAATTCACAGCACAAGGGCGGGCTGGAAAATGGTTAAAAGGTTTGGTGCCTTAGGCTGGTCGCTCTGAAAATGACGTTGCTTGGCGCGATATGTTGTATTGCGTAAGTCTACCTTGTAACGTTTTAACTCACTTGTGTTCGTGTCCACGTGGATTCAAGAAATTAATAATTAAAAGCCGTCGGAAACTTTTTGTTTTCCTTCACGACGCTTATGTTCTGCTACAGTTGTTCGTGAGAACCTTTAATGATTAACAAATGCCCTTGTTTCTTTGGCGATAGCAACGTGACGGGGAGCTGAGGAAGCGTGCAGGAGCTCTGTTGGGACATGACGTGCCCGTGTTTGCGAAGTTAAGCTGAACGTGCGCAGCTGGCTTTCACCCCCCGAAGCCCCTTACAAAAAAAGGTATGCTCGGACGGGATTAAGATGAAGGTCCATTTTTCGAGAAATGGCATTGCGACCCTCTTCGAAGCTTGTCTAGTAAGGGGATCCCTGGGAAACTACTGCACCTCAAAACCGCATGCAATATTGTCATAAGTATATTAAAATACTTTATTTGTAACTTTCCTGACATAAAAGAATTCAATCTATATGTATCTTAACAAAATGTGCCCAGTGGTGCAACAAGTAAGCTGAGTACAAAACTGCCATATATCTAATTTACAATTGAAGCAGTGTCTCAAAACTATAATAATGCAATAGGAGAAATAACCCGAAGGTCTTGGAAAGTTGGGCCACCTAAGCACTGCCGCTTGTAGGTCAGGTGGGCGGGTAGAAGCTGCGGGACGGAATAAGAATAAATTCCGGTTTACGGCTACGGTTACGGCTACACTCTTATGGGACCATTTCCGGTTACGGTTACGATCAAAATACGTTTACGATTGGTAGTAGGATGATTTCAGAAATAAGATGCATGTCGGTGTCCAAGAATACAACTCAGTTGCATTTCTCCCAATCTTCACCGTAGCTAAGACGAACACATTACTACCAAAATATAGAGAGTCTGAGACTTGGCAAGGCCATTTAAGTGCTTTCAAAACATATTCCTTCACCATTAAATATATCTTAAACTTACCTAGAAGACGCAAAATGCGCTGTCCCGGACACCGCTTTATTGTCTGTTTTCGGTTTTATCGCTAGTATCTCATTGAAACCTGGTCTAAATCTATTCAAATTCAAAAATATTTGAACCGCTACACTGTCAACATTTTTGCACCATGTCCCAAAAAAGTTCTGCAGAAAACTATTTATTTTCAAGCGCTCTCACCAGAAATTTAAAAATGTGTTTGAAGTAAATATTGTAGCTTGATCCCTTACCTCTCCGACGCTGTGCCGTTTTTCTCTATATTGCGAATATGTAGCCTCTGAGCAGCGCGACCTAGAATGCGTTCAGAGAAAAAGGGCACAGCGTCGGAGAGGTAAGGGATCAAGCTGCAATACAATCTTGAAACCTTTTACAAATTTCTAGCCAGATCACTTACAAAAATTAGTTTTCTGTAGAACTTTTTGGGGACATGGCACAAAAATATTAACAGTTTGACGGTTGAAACATTTTCGGACAACCTTTTGTATACATATTATTAAGTGGTTCTTTCTGGACAGTTTAAGCCTCCACCTTTTTACGTTCAAAACGGCTAGAGATCAGGTGAAAACTAAAAATCTGCACTTACGTTCCTTCGGTTAAAAAAATGTGTTCCTGGTCGAAATTCGAGGTAAGCTTTACTATTGGGGTTCATCAAGGGCCACTCGACCGGAATCCGCAATTAAACGTTATGGTATAATTTCCGTAATGTAAAAATTTCGTTGACTGGACTGCAAGCCGCAAACAAATGATATGACGACCGTAAACACTACTAGGTAGATGTACGCCAGACCACGTCTCGCGTAACAGGCTTCGCGATATTTCACGAAACACTGTTGCGCTGCGACGCGCCTGGCATACATCTACCTAG